GTAGACTTTCAAGCAAGTATTCTGGGGTCCAAGCAACCGACTCCAATTTGCAACTGAGAGGTCACTGATCCAGCAGCCTGGTCTCACTCCCAGGGCGTCGAAATACACTCCTTGGGCACTATAATGAATCAGGGGGCATCGTTTATTGTCTGTGTGTTTCGTGATAAATCATTTTTATTACCCCGTCGAGAAGCATCTCCTCGTGTAATTATGGTTCTCTTAAAACATGCACAAACACTAAGAGAACTCCTAACTACACAAACATGTTAACTTAAACTACGCAGCACTTGTTGTGCCGCAGTATTGTCTGTGTCCTAAGAACCACTTTGTGTATGATGCCCGGGAGGACACGTGGCAGCTGTCTTGTTTTGTGTGTGTATGTTCCCATGAGGAATGGGTATATGGAAGAAACTCTGTCACAGTCCCATCCCCACGAGCCTGATGTGCTCCTTCCAGTCTGAATGGACTCCTCTGCTGAGTGCACGGCTCCCCCGCAGGCCGACACAATGACCTTGACTCGCAGACAGACTAAAAAGAACCACAGCTTTCTTTCTTCCTCGTTGTGTTGTGCTTGGAGCATGGAAAACACATTTACAGCTGTGGTGGTGTCTGTCCCCTGAGACACACAGTGTCTAAACAAACACAAAAGCCTTTCTTGTCCCAACCCCCAAACTCCTGCAGGCATGAAGGGCACGTACCTACAGATTTCTGCAGAGCTGTGTGTTAGGGCAAAGATATAAACACAGTAAAGTCAAAGTCAAAAGGAAGGCTTGTGTGTTTTACTTGATGCTTAAAACTTATGATCTGAGCAGTCGATGGCTAAAACCTTGATAAAAACATATATGTATGATGACCTGGATGACAATGTCAGTGTCAAACAGAGTTCTCCAGGAATGATGTTTTTCTGTAGGCCGACCTGGAAGTTAGCGTCTCCCTGGTTCACTCGTCAAAATGCCTTTTGGATTTTTCCGTTGGATTTTGGATTATTATGAAATTAAGCTTTGTGGCAAACAAATGTTTATGAAAATTACACGTTTTTTTCCACAAGATAATCTTAATAAATGAACATCATTTTTATGATTTTGAAGCTTAAATGCAGTCGCCAGGAGTAAAAAGCTAACGTTAGGCTATGAACGAACTACACCACAGTCGCATGACATAACGATGCTGCGTGATGACGTTCTGGAGTCTCATTTAGCCACTGGTTAGCAACTGCCTTCTTAAAGATGCAGAAAAGATTCAAAATCCAAGAATTGGGTTTTCACGGATGTATTTTCTAACCAAAAACCCATTCTAGAAACCCATTGAAATGCTAACTTATTTCACTCTGTGTCAGTGTGAGAACTTCTGGCAGAAAACCACAACGCTGACGCATGCGCCCAACATCCAGAATTGTCAGAGCGTTTTCTACGTCTTCACCAATTTGACGACGCATGCAGCATTTAGAAAACATTCATCAAGTTTTCTCTTGAGTCGTCTTAGCTTAATATGAGCATTGTTTTTTTATGGTGTCAGAAGACAAGAACTGCAGCTTTTGCTGTGCTGAGGACGTTCAAGGGTGCTACAGTCAGTCAGAGGAGATGAGTGTTACCTGTGGCAGATGGCAGAGCGAGTAGTTGTTGTAAGCTGAAGGAGGTTGAGGACATGAAGTTGCAGTGGGCCATTGTTTTATCTTTCTCAGAGATTTGGCTGGAGGATAAGTGATGCCTGTTGTGGCAGCAACTCAAGAAACTGGTGGACACCAGTGTTGGAGGAACGATTGAGGTTGCAGAGATATGAGAGAGGAGCTTGATGAGGCTGTGAAGAGGTTATGGGAAACCATCAGAGGATTTTGGAGTGCGAGGCAGAGCTTTGTTCATGCTGACCTTGACTGTAGAGACAGCTGACCAGTGGAGGGAAAGTTTGGTCTCTGTGGAGCAGACAGCATCAGAGGGCTCAGAGGAAGCTTTACCCTGAGTCCTGCAGAGGTCACTGAGGTAGCGCACAGTCATGAGGCAGCATGAGTATCTTGCAAACCGCCCTCACATAGCAACTGACTATCTTAGACGTCATGGATGACGTGAAAGGTACCCTGAGTGTGTTGGTTGTTAATGTTCTGGGACACCGTGCCAAGTTCTGCCTGTTACATGCATTGTCTTCTTTCAAAATAAACTTCTGTTTTCACCAGAAATGTACAATTTGCATATAGTCTCTATCAAAATAAAAGCACTTCAGCAGTGCAACACCACAAATTGACTTTTCTGTCCTTCAACACCAAACACATGTTGTTAGGTTTAGGAAACAAGAACATGGTTTGGCTTTACAATCATATGGGAAGCAAACACCAGCCTCAAGGGTGAAAGTCGATGGTTGCCCCTCCAGCCTGCCCTACTCGGACTTTTGCCACCTTAACTTTGATTGTTGGCCCACCCTGGTTCCCCCTGGCGACAATAACAGCAACTGGCAGCGAATCATGCCGATGTGAAAGGACAGATTTTTTTTGTTGGTGTCTAACACCAGAAGTTGCTGAGTTTTCAACGACTTCAGAGTGAGACAGGGTTGGTTGTGGACCCTGTCTTACAACTTTTAGTACTGTGAGATTATGAAGAAGCCCTTAGCCAATCCCTTAACATCATTATCAGTGACCTATGGCCCAACTACACATTTCAAGGTTTTAATTTCAGTAGCTTGTTCATTTATGAATATGTGGACATCAAATCCCCGCTCACATGTATTGGACATACTCTCACAACTTGTATAAAAAGACCGAAATGAACACTGTAAGCTGACTACTTGATTACTCTAACTGAATTATTTAAACAGCATTCATTTGGGGATGTCAGAACCTTTTTGATCCATATAAGCATTTAATCCCTGTAAACAGTTTCCACTTTATTTAGAAATGAGACGCTAATTAAATGTAGTCGACTATGATACAACCTATCGGCATGTTGGCCTAGTTTTCCTCCTACATGTGTTGTGGGGGTCTTCAGCACCCTCAGGGGGTCGATCGGGTCATGTGACTCAATGTATGCACGTCCATAGATGAACATGGAGACATATCTGTTTTTGTCTGCTGTCAAAACACAATAACGTCAAACCTGTGCACCTCTGTTTTCACACAATCGGGCAGGACTGAAATCATGAGTCCAACTTTCCCCGAGGCAAATTATTTGAATAATTGATATTTAATTTATTCTGCAAACTGCTCAGTTATATTTTCTGTAAAAGTTTTTTCCAGCATAAAGGTCTCAATGCAGTTTCAGGGATTTCTTGTATTGTATTTTTTTTTTTAAATTTTTTATTTTTTTTTTTTCAGTGTGTATGAAGAGTCTGTTTCAAACACTTGATCACATTCTTTGTTTTATTATTATTATTTTGTTTTTTTATCAAAGTATTTAAATTATTTCATAGGTTCTGGTTTAAATCTGGAATCTGTTCTAACTTTCATCTATATTTTTATGTCTTTTCGCATTTAAGAATAATGAGTTCTTTAATTTGTCAATAGTTTTAAACTTTGAAACAGAAGAAAACAGTATATTTGAAATGCTCTTGTTCCTCTTGAGGGCGTGTTGGTGTCTGCTTTTGATTGACAGCAGCTGGCAGCCTCGGTAGGAAAATGAGACAAACTGACCAGTCTACATGAAACACAGCCGTCATTAACATTATTATTTCCACCTGACATGACAAACTGTCTCTTGTAAAAATGCCTATAAAATCAAATTAATGTTTTTCTTTAATTTAACCTAAATGATGACCGGATCTTAATACAAAGAAAATGAATATTTCCCCATGATATGACCTGCCGGGGCGTCGGTGGCTTAGTGGTTAGAGCAGGCGCCCCATGTACAAAGGGTTCGACTCAGTCCCTCTCTCTTTCTCCTCCTTCACACACTTAGCTGACCTATCCATTAAAGGCAAAAATGCCCTGGTACTCCCCACCAGCAGCAGCCTCTGAGGCTGAAAAATGAAGCCAGTGCGGAAGTGCCAAAAACTGCAGTTCATCGAACAGCTGTTTGCTGCCTCCAAAACAGAATAAATCCCCATAGACCCCCATGCTAACATGCCCAACTTTATAGCAGAAATAAACATGTTTGCAGCCTGATACAAAAAGCCAACGCATGTTCATGGTTAGGTCGAGGAAAAAAGAACGGGAAGGAAACACCGGCCTCCAGGGTGAATGTCAGCATTCGCCGTCTTAACTGTCGTTGTTGTCCAACCACCTTTCCCCAGACTCTGCCAGGCATCGTTGAACAATAGCCATGTGTCATGCAGACATGAATGGATGGCTTTTTTTTGTTGGTGATGCCAGAAGTCACTGAAAATGGAGTGTATTTTAAAAACAGACAATGCATGTAACAGGCTGAAATTGACACGTCTCAGAACGTGAACAACCAGCACACCCAGGGTACCTTGCACGTCATATGTGGATGTGGAATGTTCATGACCAAATGTCAATGTGTGACAACAACCAAATTACTTCAGCTGTAAGCTGGACAGCTGAACAATGAGGCAGTGGCTTTAAATAATCATTTTTAATATCTGTATTGCAGATTGATTGTTATAGATTCAGCCTCATGGTGATTCCTGACAGCAGGTTCTTGTTATTTCCCAACATCTCTGCAGGTAAACACACAGAGAGCTCCTCTGAGTGTAGAAATGAATTCAGTTACATTATTTAAAGTCTAACCCCTGACCCACATTCAGCCCGGGCCACCGGCAGGCTCAACATAAACCATCCCTCATCTCAGCGCTGATTGGACGCTGCTACCCGCTCGGGGACGCGCCGGCGTGGACACGCTCGGCCTGTGTTTCCAGGAGACTCTCCCACGTGCCCGCGCCTGCCTCCTGCCCCCTCTGCTGCAACTCGTAAGAAGCTTCTGGAGCGCGCTCCCGTTAGAAATCTGTGTCGGGCGTGCCCGCCAGTGGAATGCGCGCACCCGGTGCCCCTCCTCCCCTTGCAGCTCATGTCCGGCGCTAATTGAAGTGCAGCACTGATGTAGATGATAAAATGTAAATACTTGAAGCTTCTGCTGCGTTTGAGTCAAGTTTATAGTTGTATTTATAAAGTGTATGATGAGGAGGAGGAGGATCCATCTGCACACTGCGGCTCCTCTCTCATAATCTCATCCTGTTTCTCTTCATGAGGATGAAAACTCAACATCGCCTTTTTACTTGGAGCAACTTGATCATGTCGTGAGGGCAGATGGGACAACTGTGTCGTTATTTCCCTCAGTCATCCTCCTCGGATTCTGCTGCGTCTGGTTTTATTTTCCTCTGCAGATTTTATTTTAACTCCTGAGAGGAGCGGCCCATAAAACAAGGCAGAGGCGTCCTGTTAACATATTTATTCGGATATTTTTTTTAAATTTTATTTGTTGTATTAATTTTCAAGGATGTGTTTACGGTCCTGATCTGGAGGATTATTGCAGAATATTGTTGGTGGCTTACATGTAGCGGAGACAGAGGCTCTGTGTATTTCTGAGGGATTCATCAGAAGCTTATATAAGAAGATCCGTCATGTATGCAGGACGCAAGAGGAGAAAACCGGTGCAGAGAGCGTGAGTTCATTTTATTTTTGTTTTTAATGTCAATTCCAGTGATATCCACATAAAATACCTTCCTATTAAAACATAAAAAAAGGACCTGGATAGTCTGCTTTAATTATGATGTCAATTATAAATGCACAAACCTGCTGCAGCCCTGATTATTCCTGCAAAACAAAGCAAAGAGTTTCTTATCGATTTTGGAAGTGGATTTAATCCAAAAATTCGTTTGCGTCTTTACGCACACTTACTGCAACGCACCTGCAAAGCGCTAAATATATATTTATATTTTCTCATATATTTTGTGAGGTTCTGTGATGAAATATATGAGGTGGAAATTTGCAGTGCGTTGTAAATGTTGTGCAGGGTCGCTTTAATGCCTGCGGATTACTGCAGGCCTGCAACTGCGGCCTGATTTTAACCTTCAGCGTTTCCGTCTGTGGTTTTTATTATAGAGTCGGTTTCGATATAATCCAGCATGTAAAGTAAAATGAGACACAAATTAGTTTTTTAATTCGTTGTTTTATTTTTTAGAGATGTCCTGGTGCAGAGTGTTGCGCCATTTTCTGTCAAAACGCCCTTCAGAGGATCAGAGAGCGTTTTTTTTCTCCTGAGGTTGTTGTGATTGGTGTGGTGATATTTAATGTTCCATCGTTTCCTAATCAAATAATATATTTTTTAGGCTTAATATATTAAAAAAAACATAAATTAAAGTAACTGCCCTTATTTTTAAAAAAAAAAAAAATTTAGATGGAGCTGTTTTAAGGATTTTTACTAGACTATAAAATCCACAAACGCCTTTTTCCCACCATAAATATGTGATTAAATCCTCAGCAGTGATGATAAAAATAATCCAAATTAAATATGAACCTTTATCATAAGGTCTGAGCAGCTGCAGTAACTGTTTTGGTGTGACATCATACTCAGGCAGCCTCACACTGACGCCATTTCCCTCTCAACAGTATTTTTTAAAATAAAACAGGGACAAACATTTCAGTAAAATGCAGATCTACACAAAACATCCAGAGCAGGCCTTTGATCGTCTTTGTTCAGTGATGTGATCACATGTGACTGAGTTTGGAAAAGCTCCAAACTGTGCACAGTAAGACACAACACACAGTCTGCAGCCTGAGGAGGACGGTATGGTGACCTGCAGCTTTACTGTGTGTGTGTGTGTGTGTGTGTGTGTGTGTCACTATATGATGCTGCTGCTCCAGTTTTACTTCACTTATGGAATAATGTTTAATATATGAAAGGTAGATGCTTTATTAACTCCCAAGGGAATTTTATCCCAGTAGATTTTCTACAGGGATAAAGAATAAAAACACACAGCAGTAAAAGGACTACAGAGAACTGTCACTGTGACATAGCTGCAGGGGGGACGCAGGGGACAGGGCCCCTCAGTATTTAGCACATGTGCATTTGTTCCCCCATCCTCCAATAACAACATGACAGTAGCAGAGGACTTTTATAATGACAGGATTAAATATATTTACACTATAAATTGATGCAGAAAAGGCCAAAACCTGGTCCTTGGAAAGTCACCATTTCAGGAAATTAAGTGTTTGACACTCCTTCATTTCATGTGTCCTGCCCAATGTTGAAAAGAAACTTACGCCTTAGCACTCTCAAACATGTGCTAATGGTGGCAGTGCAAATGTAAGATGATTAAATTTAAATGTAAAAACAGTGCAACGATATTAAATACTATGGATAACAAAGAAATTAAAGGTAAATATGAATGCATGAATGCTTTTGCATAAATAATCAACCTGCCAGTGAAACATGTCACAGGATGAGACTGTTTCTGTTCAAAATGTTTTAATCTGGGGAAAATTGAGGCACAAACTGCACGATAATTCCTAAAAACTCAGCGTCTGCAAATGAAAAATCTCCATAATCCTCCTTTGTGATGAGACAGATTGATGAGGGACTAAAACTGGAGGTGAGACACTTCTGGAGGCTGAAATTTGATTTAGTGGGTCAGTTTTTCTGATGATGATGACGAAGCTTTTCCTGTACACAAAGACATGGATACAATAATTAATCAATGGGTGTTTTGATAATTGATTGATTGATGATGTATTGCTTTTTGTATGTTAATCAAGCTTCAGTTCAATCATAAAAACAGAAAAAGTACATCTAAGTGGTGACCAGACGTCTCCAGATTGAGCAACAGTTGAGTTTTGAATTGTTGATCAGATTAAATAGGAATTTTGAGCACATTATTTTGTCATCTGGCAATTTATGATGTATATTTGAGATGTTTTCATGACACCCTGACCAAACAGTTAATAGAAAAAAATAATGGTTAATAGTTTAACTGTCGAAAAAAGTAGAAAAAAATATACTTTCATGAGACTGAACGGATAATAGAAAAAATAATAAGTGGACTAATTATAATGAAAACATTTGTTTATTACAGTATAGCACACACACACACACACGAAATCCAAGATATTAATATTTTCTGATTATGTTAAATGCTTTCTTGCATTCGTAATGTTCGTAAACAACAAAAACTAAAAAAATAGTCAAATAAATTAATTAATGAATTAATAATCATACTTATACTACTACTACTACTATTACTATTACTACTACTAATAATAATAATAAAATGATAAAATAAAAATACATTTTGTCATTTCAGAAACTGTTTATGCGTACTTTTCATTTATATATGAAAATATATTTATGTGAATGTAAATATGGTCAAAACTGTGATTTAACCCTTATTTCTTATGTTTTATGAAGCAATCAACACAATGAATATCAAAACTTAATCACATTATATATTCTGGTGTAGACTTGCTGACTCACTGCCATCAGCCACACCTCTGTCACTATATTTGATGTGTTGTCCTTGATTGCTCTTTTCTATTTTTACTTCTGTTCTTATTCTATGTGTATATTCTTCTTCTTATCATTATTTATGCCTCTGTTCATCTGTACTTGTGTCTGTCTTTGTGCTGCTGCGACACCTGAATTTACCCTGAGGATAAATATATATTTATCTTTTAACAGAAACAGGGCCTCATGCAGCAACACTGTTTTAAATTTCACTTATGTTTTCTCTTAATTTTCTTTTAAGATAAAAATAAGAGAAGTCAACCCCAGATGCACCAGATTAACTATCCAAATCTGCCCAGGTGTGCTGAATGATGAACTTGATCATGAGTAACCTGTTAGCACAGGTAACGCCCCCTAAACACCATATAAGGGCAGGTGTTGTGCTGTGTGCAAAGACTCTGGCACATGTTCAAGAAAATGGAGAGATGCCACAAACAAAAAGGCTGTGAGGAGAAGAGGAACTTCAGCAGTAGTGAAGTTGACATTCTGGTAAAGAAACCTAAAGTAAATGTGATTTGTCAGTGTTAGTGCTGGTGTTACAGGAAATTCAGAGACGTATATTTTAGTGTGGTTTGTTTGCAAAGATTTTAATTTGTAAAATCACTAGTTATAAAAATGATCAAATATTTGAATGAAAAGAACATTATTTCCCTCTGAAGTGGCGTAAAAGTTAAAAGTGGCATGAGATTGATCTTTTTTTCCATATGTACATAAGTGAAAGGTGTATATAGTTTAAACAGTATTAAGTGTTTAGTTGTGTCTAAATTTAGTACTTTATATTTTTCTAATTCTGATATATATCTTTCTGTATATATTTTATATTCTATAATTTTCTGTTGCCATTCAACTTGCTTTTCTATCTGTGCTGTTTGAGCTGCTGTTACATGTGAATTTCCCCGGTGTGGTATCATTAAAATTTTATCTTATCTCTTAAAACATGAGTAAGGTAAAGTGAAAGTACCTCAAATTTGTATCACCAAAGAATCAAAGAAGCTGAACACACGCAGTGCCATTCAAGGGTTTTTACAGTCTTGATTAAGATCAATGGACAAATTGTGTTTCTTTAACCCACAAATGTAATAACCCAATCAGTATATGTACTGTAAAATATACAATAATTCAAATTTGATTATAAGATGTTCATTTTTTTATGTTCCTCAAATTTAAAACTAGTTTACTCGCTTTGAACAACAATTTGTGGACTGTAAAAATAAGATGTTTTTCTCATATCTTGGTAAAAGTGCTCTTGAGCAGTTGCAAATGTTTCAAAGAAAAAGGCAAAAACAAGAAAACAATGGCTTCTGATAACTAACAAATCACTTTGTGCGTTTACATGGACAGTTCAATTCCACTTTCATTCGGAATGAAAGGCCATTCCGATTAAAAGTGGTCATGTAAACGGTCATTCCGATTGAAAACTAAATCCGATTAAAGGGGGTGGTTTATTCCGTTTGTCATTCCGAATGAAAGAATTTTGTGCATGTAAATGCTCATTCCTCTTTAAGTTCATGCCGGTCTTTCTGCGCATGCTCGTTTCCTTGCCCTTCTGGCTCGATGACGTATACAGCGCACATAGCAACGGGCTGAGAGAAAGCAGTCAGACTCGTTGCACTCACCGGTTTCCGTACGCCACAGCACGGTCTTCTATCTCCCTTCTTCGACCTTCTACCTCTCTCCTCCTCCTCAACAGACGAAGCATTAGCAGAACAAGGTTGTTGTTGTACTGCTACTTCAAGAATATAAGCAAAACAAGCCTGAAAAAGAAAAGAACAGCGTCGTCAAGCATCTTGTTATCCGGAGCAAGGACTACAGTGTTTTCTTCCGATAAACATTAACATGTAACATCCGCCCCGCCTCCTATCCAATCAGATACCTTCCCTGCCCCAAACCTTGCACAGACCTGAATACAGCCGATTAAAAGGCGATTAAACTGATCTCCTGTGTAAACCCTCATTCGGAATGAATATTTCTCATGTAAACTACCTGGAAAAACTTTAATTCTGAATGATTTCATTCAGATTTATTTCATTCCGAATGAGAAGCCATCATGTAACCGCACCCATTGATACTAACTGAAATAAGAGGAGATTTGTTCATTCGCTTTCTGCATGGGACCTGTTGACCAGGAAGTAGGTTGCACACAACCCCATAGCACTATGTTAGCTCTACATCTGTGTGTTGCCATGCATGGAAGTGAAAAGGAGTGTATAGACTTTTATAATCTTATAGTCTGTTAACCTGTTTTTTTTTTTTTGTCCCTGAATTTGTAAAGCGTCTTTGAGTGCCTTGAAAAGCGCTATATAAGTATAATGTGTTATCAATATTATTATTAGTAGTAGTATTATTATTATATACAGACTGTCACGTTAGCAGTTCCACCAAGGAGTGATTTTTTTTCCTCTTCTCCTTTAAAGACGTCTCATAAGAGGTCCATTATTTAGGACAGACATGATTAAACCTGAATTTATGCAGCAGAAATGTGTTTATCATTGAGTTTATGTTGAGGTCTTCTGCAGGGTCTCAGACCCCAGCTGGGTACTGTTGTTATAGACTGTGTATAGACTGTAGCTCTGTCAGTAGAAGATCCCACAGTTGCAGGTGATGATGGTCGGGAACTCGACAACAAAATCAGGGTGAAACACCTTCGAAGCCAACCTGTGAAAATGCTGACTAAAACTGAATATGCAAAAACAACAGAGAGGATCAAGATGATGATGAATGGATACTAAGGATCACTCAACTCCAATAATGATTATAGGCACATTGAGATTATTATTATTATTATTATTATTATTAATTTATTGTTTTTTGGGGGAGTTTTTCCTTATCTGCTGTGAGAGTCCAAAGGACAGAGGGATGTTGTATGCTGTAAAGCCCTCTGAGGCAAATTGTTATTTGTGATATTGGGCTTTATAAATAAAATTGAATTGAATTAAGATTATAAATAATACAGAAATAAATAGCAGACATACAGAGCAGAGTGTCAGAAGTCACATAACTGAAATCATCTGAGTGCATCACTTCAGTTTTCAGCCAGCATCAAATGAACTTGTGAATCTGTGTGTTTATTTTTGTTCGCGTAGTGTCTGAGCTCAGAGGTCACTCTCCAGATGTTTCTGCAGGTTTTTTGTTTTATTTATGCTGAAAACAAAGTCTGTGGTTCGCTCAAGCTGAAACCTATTTTGTTCCATGACGTTAATCACACCCACAAATATGTTGCTGTTTTTCTTTATACGTTTCTATTGACATTCTTCGTCTGTGGTTCAAACAGAGCAGGGTTTTATCAGGACTTAGCTGCATAAGATTTTTTTTTTTCTGTGCTAATTTTCCATCAGAGCCCTGCAGTGTGAACAGAGCAACGTTCAGGGTTTCACCACAAAAAGTCATCATTCATAGTTGTGCCTTTTATAAGTTTGTCGTTATTTTTTACTTTAAAAACCACCAGCAATTGTGTGCAGCACCAAAAAAGTGACTTCCAGTGGTTATTTTTATTCATTAGCACTTTATTTTTTTTTTTATTTATTTATTTGTTTATTTTAGAGAAGTATTACAAAAATACTCAGTTAAATACTAAACCTAATCTGCCTCCTCTCATGGTGCACGCGCTTTATTTTGGAAAATACCAGCTAGCATCTTTGGGCCTCCACAAGATATATGGGTGAAAATTATGTTTTTGAATAAATTTAAATTTCCCTTTCCCACACTGCTAATTCCAACATTTTATTGAAGGGTTATGATATTCATTAATTAATCATTAAAAATTACTCTTTTTAACCATGTTATAAAATTCTCAAATTTGTTGATGTAATCCCAAAATTTGCTATAGCAGGCTCAAAATGTGAGAACTTTAATGTTATAATCCTAAACATGGTGTAGTACCACCAAGGTGTATTTGTTATAAACTTACAATTAACGTTCATGATCTGAAAACACACTGAAATAGTAACAGCTACGACTGTGCCTACACATTGTAAATCTGGGGTTACGCCATGGTTACGTTAGCTAACCAATGTTATCCCTGTGGCAGCGACTTGTCAATCGACACCTGTCACTTAAAGCGGCCAACGGGTGAGTTATATAAAAATTTACCCCCGTATAGGTCTCACGAATGGGGAAATTAGCCATAGAGACCAAACCTGCTTGGAGCCAGCCCCAAGTGGCCATTAGAGGAACTGCGGTTTTTGGCACTTAATCGTTTGCTTCATTTTTCAGCCCCGTAGGTTGCTCTTTGGTGACTGCTTATGATTTAGTTGTGACCTTTTTCTCCATTTATAATGTTTGTCAGGGTGAAGCAGGCACCGGCTGAAGGGGCCAAGTCCAACCCGTCCAAACGTCACAGAGACCGGTTGAACGGGGAGCTGGAGCGGTTGGCCAGCCTGCTGCCTTTCCCTGAGGAGGTCACCGCCAGTCTGGACAAACTCTCCATCCTCCGCCTGAGTGTCAGCTACCTGCGAGCCAAGAACTTCTTCTCTGGTAAATATAAAAGGATGTGTTTGACATGTAACAGCAGTGTCTCTTTGTGTTACTTGCTGGTGTGCCTGAACGCTGCTCATTATTATATCAAACATCATGCAGTTGAATCTTGATTTGTTTGGTATTAGGTCGAGTCTTTTGCACAGGAACAGTCACATGGATGCATTGATCGCGTCTGTCACATAAACCTGTTTCCAATTAGTGGGACAGTTTTAGGATATCATCTTGTGTGCCATGACACTCAGAGAAGATCAATATCAAATTAATGAGCATGAGTATATGTCCAGCACACAGAGAGAGGTCTGCAGCATGTGTAGCTTAGCTTAGCACAGAGACTGAATGCAGAGGAATGGTTAGTTCGAATCCATCACATGTAGAAAACATATAGCTTCCATTAATCCCACAGTTGTTTTATTTGATGAACATCATTACAGCATGCTGCTTGTTTTGAAGTCCAGTCCTGATAGAGAGAGAGACATAATTTACGGCTTCTGTTCCAGAAACATGATTCAAAACCACGCTGACATCTCTCGCAATACAAGACCTGAAAATCCAGCCCTACATGTCAGCAAACAGCCTGTTTATACTTGGTGTTAACATGTTTTTAGGTGATCCAACAACCCGGTCTCAGTCCCAAGTCATCGATATCAAGGTGAAATGCGGCAGGACAAGAACAAAAGTTCTTGTTCGCAACGTGGTGTTGGCATCACATGAGATTCTAAAGCCAAACCCTGTTCTTTTTTCCTAAACCTCTCCTCATGCATTTGTTGTTGGAGGAAAAAAATGTCAATTGGTGTTGTTGTAATGACGTAGTGCTTTTATTTTGAAAGATAAAACACAAGTGTCATTTGAAAGAAGACAGTGCATGTAACAGGCAGAACTTGACATGATGTCCCAGAACATCAACAACCAGCACACCCAGGGTACCTTGCACGTCGTATCATGGCATGGAAGGTCCATGACCAAATGTCGATATGTGACGAGGTCGGAGTGAGAATACGTTGGATCCAAACACAACTGGACAACCGAGACACATCACCCTTCACACCTGTGTCCACCTTGCGTCTCCAGCTGACCACTTGTGTACAGATTTCTTAACTTCTGACATCACTTATGCAAGACAGTCAAAGAGCCCTGCGCACAGTTATCATGTCCACACTCTCACTGTCACCAAAACAACCACCACATTGTGCATTGATGAAGCAATCCATGTCACATCAGGAAAAATAGCATTTACACTACAAAAGATGATCTCACCAAGTGGCTTGAGTGATTGGATCATAATGCATCTCAGTGGTTGTTTACACTTGTATTCAGCACTGTTCACAATCGGATTACCCATGACTGATGATAATACCAGGCTCAGATAGTCATTTTACATCACTACCACCGGAGATAGTGGGGGGCAGTGTAGCATAGATCAAGCAAGACACGACTGTAGGACACATTTTGTAGGAGACATTTTAAAAATGCCAGAATGCAACAAATCAGTAACAAAGTCTTAAGAATTCTCCGTCCAAATGTTGCAGTGCATGTTATGGCTTCACAGACCACCACCATCTACAACCCTGCGTCTGTTAAAAGGTACATTAGTATGATCTCATCCACTGTTGCCATGTTTTGCCTTGTTTCCTCCAAGTGGTTATTTTTGCATTTCCGTTGTCAAAAGTTGTAGATGTAACCAACAGAACTGCTCCATTCTGTCTCATTTATAATTTTTTTTGTCACCCCTCTGTTGAGGTACCTTGCACACAGATCTGATGCTAAAAGGTGGAGCTAGAAACTCTGTAGTCGGTTGATTGGTCTAGACAGATTTGTCACTCTTGCTTGAAAAGGACTCAATGCACAAACCTGCTATTTTTTAAATATCCCATCAGTTGCGACAGCGACTGTAAACAGTCCAGCCTGCTGGATGAGGTGCAAGTGTTAGTCTGCATTGACGAGATTGCAGTGAGGAGAAAATACAGCAGGAGCTGGAAAGGGTTAAAGTACATATCTGTAAGAGCCACACATATTTATATTTGGCAGAGATCTGTGTTTATATGACATACACAAGTTCTGCTATTATCTAAGTTTACACAACGGTTTCTGTATACTTTGAATGGTGTATAGTAGTGGTTATGTTTATATTTACTTTATGTGCTAGATTACAGGCACGAGTTACTAAGGCAGATCCAGAGACTGTGGATAATATTATGCATAAAAGACGACATGAAGTTTGTGTTGATTTGGATCGTAATAAGTAGGGGTGTAACGGTACACAAAAATCTCGGTTCGGTACGTACCTCGGTACACAAGTCACAGTTCGTTTTTTTTTTCGGTACAGTAATGAAAAAAATAGACAACTATTAAATATCTTTTACTTATTGGTAACCTTATTAAAACATACCACCACAGCAGTTAACTCTTTTTACACAATTTTTGAATGAAACAAATATATATAAAATCCTGCTTTTTCACATTGTTTGAATGAAAATAGAAATATAAAAGTGAAAAATAAAATCCTGCTGTTTTTTTAACACATTTTTTGAATGAAAAATATAAATATACATTTCTGCTTTAACAGTTTTACTCAATTAAAATAAAAAGTATAGTGCAGCTGGTCAGCTTTAAAGCCTGCTCAGATTCAGTTTTACTAGGAACTTACTTAGCTTTCCCACTTTGTTAAAGTGCAGTAAACAAAACATGCTTATATCTAAAGTGCAGCTTAAACAATTTTACTCAACTCCAATGGCATTGGTTATTTCTTTAGCGCGATGGTCAGGGAAGCGCTCTTTCTTTTTAAACGACGACGATATCGTAGTTTGCACCAGATTGCTTTTTCTAGTTGTGCCGGTTAACGTTCAAACTCGGGTGGTGTCGCTTTAGATGCGTTAGCATGTTAGAAGTGTTTCCAAGTACGTACCCGACCGCTGTTCCGCAGTGTCGGCACACTGCTTTTGTCTTGTCAACTTGTTTATTTCCATCTTCGTATTTTACCCTGAAACCAAAGTGTTCCCAAACGGAGGACTTAAGGTTTGCGGGTGGGTCTTCAGGTTGGTCACGCTCACTTGCCATGTTGTCAAAATTCGAGAATGCGCTGCACAAAGTGAAAGCGGAGATTTACGGGACTCGGTCTGTCACTCAATTATGTCCGTCAGGGAACTAGATATTTTAAATGGTTCGGCTCGCAAAAACGGAATTAAAATAAAACAAAACAAAATAAAATAATATCCTGCGCCCAATAATTCGGTACAGGGTCGTGCCGAACCGAAAGTCGCGTACCGAACGGTTCGACACAAATACATGTACCGTTACGGCCCTAGTAATAAGTTTATGACCGTGTGAAGTTGCAGTGTTGAAGCGTAGTAACGGGAATATGATGAGAATATATAGAACTAGGACATCGAGTTGGTCATGGACCGTACGAGATATAGAAGGACTTGGCCTGTCATTTTGTTTACTATTTAGGATTCTCAATAAATTTCATTAAATGTTTCCCTGCCTCATGTGAAGACTGTGGATGTTCAGAAAAGGAACAGAAACACATGTCAAAACCGAGACACCTCAAAAAGGTTGAGTTGAGTAGGAACTTTGGTATGTTGCAACAGCCATGACAATATCTGTACGGGTTCCAAGAGTACTATACCTGCCCACTGTCCTATTACTGCCAATAAACTTTAGTTAGATACACAATGTTTCAGCCCTCACACCTTCATCATATTAACCTGGTGCATCTCATAAAGTTTATTGCAAGTAGTAAAACAATGTGCTGGAATTCCCTTCTCTTCACATATGGACAGTTTCCTTGCATGCACCTGTCCACAAGTTCTTGAAGGTGTGCTTGAGCCTCAACATTCAAGGGTACTGAACTGAAAGTGTTTGGTGGAAACATGGATTTTGTTGTTGTCTGAGACTTTTCACTTTGCCCTCTAGCGCCATCCATTATAAAGGAAGTATGAGGGCAACGATGGTTAGAACATTTAAAATAACTATCTATTTTGGTACATAAATGGAGTGCAAATGAGCGCTAACATCTTTGGTAGAGTGGTGTGTTTGAGTGATAAATTCAAACCAAAGGGAGCAGTTCAAAGCAGGCGACTGTTCCTAAATGCCCTCAGTTTATTGCTCCGGTCCCTCCGACCATTACGAATGTCACAACAGCCGAGTCGCTCATCTCTGTATTTGCGCTGGATGTGTTTCCCCACATCTCACGGCTCATCTCATCAACCAGAGATGTGGAGACCACCACAGCAAGAGGAGAGCAACCAGCCACCGCCTTATTCAGATGATTTCATCCCGGGGAAAGGCCCTCAATATTTCATTGAGACCCATGTCTATGTATGCATGTGTGTGTGTGTGTGTGTGTGTGACATCACTTACTCGAGGATTAGGAGATGGAGCTTTGGCGTCCATTAAAACCGTATGCCAAAGCATAGGGAAGAGTTGCATGCCAATGGATGGATGTGTACAGTCGTCTTCTACTATGCAGAGTGAAGACATTGTTATTTTAGGCGGTGATCTTTCAAAGAGAATGCTGCAATGCGGCCGTCAGATGCTCTTGATGCATGAATAATTGAGAGAAACCCTGGAGTTTAAAGAATTTATGAAATGGAGGCAGAGCAATGTTTGTTTAAGGCAGCGGCTTTTTGAGATGGTTGTTTGGGGTGAGACGGACAGGATACAGCAGCGGTGATATGAGTGTGTTTCAGGCGCATGTTGCAAATGCATTTCATATTTTTATTGTGTGTGTGTGCGGCTGCTTGGTTCATATGTTGTGTGTATGTAGAGGATGCCCCAAAGAAACAAACACAATTGAATCTAGAGCTGTTTTTTCTTCTGACTATTTCTATTTTTACAGTTTCATCAATAGAAGTCACGTCTATTATTCCCACTGAATAACATATGGAAGTGTTCGGCGGCTACTCGACCTGTCAGAATGAATTATTGATAATAGATTTCAGTACCAATAGGTCAAAGTGTAGCCTATAGACGAGCCCTCTTGTCTAACTGCATTAGCC